CCCCAAAACCCCAAAACCCCAAAACCCCAAAACCCCATATAAACCCCAAAAATACCAGATTAATAACAATAAATATGAAAAATACAAACCGGAATTTTAGGCTTGAGTCTTACAAGGTGTTATGTAACTCGATAGCTAGCAAAAAGGAGCCAGTTAGAAAAGTTAGCAGAAGAAGAGACGAGATGTCTCCAGTATTACGGAATCAGATGTTTCAGACTATTATAAAGCTCAAGGTACATTTCTCATCTATTTTACATGCTTTAAAGTTTAATAGAACTATTTAGCGAGCATTCATTAACTTAATTTTAGGGTGGCCACAACTACAAAAGAGCTTTCAGCCCCCAGATAATAAGAAAGATGAGACCAGAAAGCCCTCAATATGAAATTAAATTCAGCCCTCATGCTTCCTGGAATCAGCAGAAGTCTAACTCAGCTCCTGGTAGCAAGCATAGGATAAAGAATGGATGGTATTATAATTTGATATCAAAAATTCGTACTAAGATGAATAAATCGGGCTTTAAAAACAGAAGATTTATATCTCCCCACATGCTTAGAAACAAAGCTGACCTGCTTGCTAGTAGCAGAGTCCTGGATGATACACAGCTGAAAGGAACAACAAAAGTCGGTGATTTTAAGAAAAGAAAACATCCACATAAACTTCCAATTCTAAAACAGCTGACTTCTTTGGACGTAATAAAATTTGATCTCTAAATTAACTTAATAACAACTATTTTAAAATAATAGAAATCAATAGATCTTGCCAAATATTAATATTGGAATTATTGGCCAAAAATTTCCCGTGGTATTGCAGTCTTTGTAAAGATATGTCTATGAAAGACGCCTAAAAACTAAACTAGAGGTTTCCAATTACTTAATCACAATCACCCCCTTATCGACCTCTTTTCTATCTCTTCCCAAAATACAATAACCCATCAAAACCTTCCATTCCTCACCCTTGCAAATCGCCCAAAATCCACCCTCTATTCCAATTTTCCCCATAACTCTCCACTTCCAGTTCTCCTTTATCCTCTTCTTCCCATTCTTCTCCTCTAAACCTCCTTCAGTCACCCACCCATTCACTATTTCCCTTCTTCACTCATCTTCTCAGCCAGGGGCTCCTGCTGGTAAGATAGGTGGAGGAGGGATTTTGGGTGAAGTGGGGATTTGTATGGGAATGAGTTGAGTTTGGAGAAGGGAAAATGGGAAGGAAAGTTGGGGGTTTTGAGGGAATGTGGGGGTATGTTTGTATGGGAATTTTGGAGGTTTTGGGATTCATTGATTAGGGAGGATTTCGAGGTTTTTATGCAGATTTAGAGCTGATTAGAGAGTTTTAGGTGTGGATGGGAAGTGATGGGGTTGTATGATGTTAGGATTGATAAGTATAACACCAATAGGTCATAGAGTATAAAATTAAATGCTAATAATCTGGAAAATAATTGGAGAAATTGTTGTCAAACAGCAAATAGTATTTCTGAGTTTAGTTAAAATAACAACAATTTTTAGATTCATGGATTATTTTTCAATTTAGTTCTAACCTATTGGTATCTAGAGTGTTAGCTATAGTTTTGATATGTAATTTATATGAGAATATTCAGACCAGTTAGAACATATTTTGACGAATTTATCAATAGACTAACCCAAGCTTCGAGTAAAATTTTTATCAAGTCTTAAACTGAGCTACTTCTTCAGATACTTGTTGTTTTAAAATCTGTAATAATAGATAGGTTAGGGATGAACTTCTGGCCTAAGATAATGGAAGTTATTTCACATAGAAATATAGTGTTTTAAATATTATTGATTTCTTTAATTTAGAAAGCATCTTCTGTCCCTTTGCTTACTTTTCCAGCTTAAAACTTCTTTATTTTCCATTTTGAGTTATTAGAAAATATTTACTAATATGGTGAATCACATAAAATCCAGATGAAGAGGTTTGGACTAAGGCAGCTATATATATTTGAACAAGATTTAGAGCAAATTCAGAGGGAGATAATTATCAGAAAATTGGATGGTTTGAAATATAATTTATTCTTCTACATACCCATAAATTATATTTTAAGAAATAAAAAACATAGATATTTATTTCTTGACTCACATTCATGAATTTCTTCTTTAAAAAGAGGCGAAGTAGAGGCTTATTATATTTAGAATTATAAATATGGTAACAAAACAGCAGATTTAGACTCATTTATGAAGTCTTGGAGTGTTCAAATTAGATAATCTACCTCTCCAAAGAGACCCTTCATGCCTTATCACAAGTAAACTTAGGACGAATTTTATTTAAAAACATTTTAAAACCCTATTTATTTCCGATGAATTTGATCAAAACACGTTTATCAGACTTGATTCAGATCCATGTAATTAACTCAGCCATTTCTAAAATTCACTGAGTTTTTTATTTGTGATTGCACATTCGTTTCACTTTGAGAAGAGGAAACAGAATACGATTAGACTATTTTCAAACATAAACTTTTAATGAAGCGAAGAAATATTTAAGATGATATAATGAAGACGGAATCATGATCAAGACTCTTCATAGAGCTCTGAAATCTTTGGAATTATACATTGACGCTCATTTTGGGAATTATTTGTAAACCATTATTTTTATTTAGTAGTATCATTCACTAATTTCAGAAAAGGGAGGCATAATGGATACTTTGGAATAACTATTTTCTCAATAAGACCAAAGTAAATTTTGGATAAAATATGCAACCACTGCGAGTTTAACCTCCCTAAAAAACAAAATTACCCGAATTCTTCAAACAATAAATACTGATCATCCTCAGACATTACCACTCAGCCCTCAATCCAAAGCTTAGTCCCACAACTTCATGATGACCAAGAGTCCACCAAACCGAAGTCCTCAGACCACTATCCATTCCTTCAAAGATGCCTCCACCTCCACTTTTCCACCACTAAGCTTAGAGATTCATGAGCATAAAAATTATTTCAATTTTATATCGACCAAACGGGGTTTTGGGGTTTTGGGGTTTTGGGGTTTTGGGG